CTTTTCTATACGTTTTCTAAACGTTGATTAGGCACTTGTGAACGCTGTGCATCGTCAGTTTCTTGATACCAACTCGGATTTTTTTTTATAATTGTGAGTGATTTTAAATAAAAAGAAGAGAAAACTGGGCCCCGTAACTGCCTCTCAGGGGAAGGACACCTGTACAGTAGCTCACGAGGGGTTGGGGAAAAGGAGAGATTAAAATGATAGGATTAAAAGCTAAAGAGATAGAGTGGAAGGAGAGAGTGAGGTACAGAGACAACGAACGACAGAAAACGACGGAAGTAAAGAGGAGATAATAAACACATTTAGTCGTTAAAACAAGCATATATGCATCGTACGTATCCATGTCAACACTGCATTTATTAGCAGCAATAACTTCCCTGTTTTTTTTTATTTAAATTGTACCTGTGTTTATTCAAATAGTACTTTTTAATAAATTGAGCAAACTTTTATTCTTCTTTTCTAATTGAAAATCTATGCTTGCACGTTGACTGACGTTTTCTAAACAATGATTGCAGCATGACGACAGCTATTATTTCAATTTCACATACGAGCGGTTTTCTAATGTAATGTGTTTTCTAGTGTATGTACATACGAGCTGTTTTCATCTGCCCTGCATAATCTGTATTTTTTTATAAATACCCAAATATTCTGCATCGCTTGGTTGTGGCGGCTTGTGACTTTATCAAAGCACGATGTTCCTGCATATTTTTGTTTATTAAGTGCCCAACTTGCTATTCAATACCTCAAGAGGGCAAGTGCTCTCTGTAATAAACAGACTTCTCAATAAAGCAGTAGTTTGTGTGTGTGATTCATTTAACGGAAAGCTGTAAAACTGCTGTAAAGGTTTGTAATTTTATTTTTCGTTGTCTACTTGTGTACATTTTGTACACGGTATTTTTATGCTCTGTTCTTTGTTATTGTTGACTCTTTTTCTGACTGCACTTCTGCGAATTTAGTGGTTCTTATTGCTGGTTTTCGTTGTCAACTGTGATTTGATGACGTCGTGATTTTTGTGTATGATAAAACAGTGATATGTTTCAAAGAAAGTAGCTATATTAACCAAATTATTTTGTTTGTATTGTCGGCTGGTTTATATTCTTCTGCATTCAATTAAATTCAGCACTACCATAGGCGCGCGAAGGATTCCCCTTCAGCGGGAAGGCGAAGGGCCATCGCAGAGCTCCCGACCTTCCTTATTAAGTCAATGCATGGGGCTGACTTCGCCCCTCCCCATTCTTCGGCTACTACCCCTCATCTCCCCATGTGCACGTCCATGAGCATTACCTTTTTAAGAACGTTACGACGGTTATTCAATCAATGGTAATGAGGTGGATTCACATTGTCCTGAATTGTGGGACGAAGAAACGGTTCAAAACAAACCGAGAGCGACCCTAAGAGAGGGAGTTAAGGCAAACTCGACTTACAGCCAAAGCTGAAGGAAAACGAGATGGGAGACAGGAAAGAGCGCAGTCTCTCATGTTCCTTCAGCTCGTGTAGCAAGTCCAGTAGCAAGTAGAACTACGGGAGTTGTAGTAAAACGCGATTAATTCAAGAGTGTGAGAGCAGCAATACCGGTTAAGTGTCAAAACTACCTTTCCTTCAGCGTGATTGCGACAATTGGACCAAATAATTTAGGTGACAAAACGCTACTTAGAACAAAATATATTTTGAAATAATGAACCTGACGGGCTTTCTTTCTCGGAAACAGTCCACTTTTGCTGGTTTACCCTAAATTCATGCGATGCGCGAAGTAAACACGATTCACATTTACTGTGGGATGATTTCAATGTGTTTTCATTACAGCCCCTCAAGCAAAAAGAGAACAATCAGTGGAAGTTTGGGGGAGGAGGGGGGAGCGCTCCCCGGCACAACACTGCAATAAAGAGGGCTCACAAAAGATATATATGTCGCCCACGATTTCTTTACGGCTTTCATGGGTTCACTGAATATCTGTGGCCATAATTTTATGCTTCCTGCACAAATCAGCTATATACCCTAGTTGTTTATCTGAGCAATCTTATACTCTCTTTCTAAATCTTATATGTTACTTCGATTACATATATATATATATATATATATATATATATATATATATATATATATATGTATGTATGTATGTATGTATGTGTATGTATGTATGTATGTATGTGTATGTATGCATGTGTATGTATGTGGATGTATGCATGTGTATGTATGTGGATGTATGCATGTGTATGTATGTGGATGTATGCATGTGTATGTATGTGGATGTATGTATGTGTATGTATGTATGTATGTGTGTGTGTGTATGTGTGTATGTGTGTGTGTGTGTGTGTGGTGTGTGTGTGTGTGTGTGTGTGTGTGTGTGTGTGTGTGTGTGTGTGTGTGTGTGTGTGTGTGTGTGTGTGTGTGTGTGTGTGTGTGTGTGTGTGTGTGTGTGTGTGTGTGTGTGTGGTGTGTGTGTGTGTGTGTGTGTGTGGTGTGTGTGTGTGTGTGTGTGTGTGTGTGTGTGTGTGTGTGTGTGTGTGTGTGTGTGTGTGTGTGTGTGTGTGTGAGAGAGAGAGAGAGAGAGAGAGAGAGTCCTAAAACCACCATATGATTATGAGAGACGTCGTAGTGGAGGGCTCCAAAATTCGACCTCCGGGGGTCTTTAAAGTGCGCCCAAATCTGAGCACACGGGCCTACACCGTTTTCGCCTTAATCACAAACGCAGCAGCCGCAGCCTGGATTAGATCCCGCGAGTCTGCGGGTCAGCAGCCCAGTACCTCAGCAACTCGACCTCTGTGGCGGGGCGTGCGCGTATGTTCAGCGTGGCCAGCTAGAGGTATTTTTATTCTGAATGTAAGTCGCCAGAAGTTTTGTCGACGAAAGCTGGATACTGTTTTCTGTCATCACCAAAGACAAGTCTCTTACAAGGTCAAGCGATTTCAGGTCTTCGACGCATCTGTTTACTGGTGGTTTCTCCTTGACCAAGTGATTCGCTTGGACCACGAAAATTACTTCATCAAGGAATGTCCCGCTCGGCATATTGGCGAACTCCGTCTCGTAAGTGACAACAAAGTTCAGCGAATCCGGCTGGTGGCGCCTGTTTTATCAACATTACGGAAAACTCGCTGGGGCATCCACAATGCAGTGGCTTAATGTATACGTGTTCGAAGAATTCACTCACAGCGACATCTTGAAGTCATGCTGCTTTTTTTTTTGCTGGAAAATGAAGCTTCGCAAGCAAGGAAGCTTTCGAAGAATTTATATGCAAGATTTAATGTGCATGGACGCGAATTCCGCCTTTGAGCCATGAGCTTCTACGTAAATGTGCTCGGTCCAAAAATCATAGTTTCTCACAAAGTTACTTACAGAGAAATACGGCGCTAGTGAGCTGCTGAATGCAAGGGAATGCAGGAATATGTGAGCTTCGAACTTGACTCGAATTTGTATACTTTGAAGATTCGTCTGGTTTCACGTTAAAGTGGTTGTTTTTTTACTAAAAAGCACGTAATGAGTTACTTATTTTTTTAATTTCACAGAAATGCGTTTTGTTTAACACTGGAGCCTTCTGCGTCGATGTACAATTTTACGAAGCGTAAGAAGTAACCGACAGCCGCAAAGCTTGGCAAGCAGACGGTAAAGCGAGCGTTTTCTTCTTCACTTTATGCCGTCTGTTTCTTTCTTTCACATTTGTTGTGCCGTCAAGGTGAGCAGACTTTTATTTTACAGTGTAATATGCGTGGTGAGATTCGCTTATACACGTTTTGTTTTAGAGAAGCTTTATTTGCGCACTGGTACTCACTTTTGAGCCAAAGTTTCGCTCAAGACCACCCAACACAAGCCTTGCAGACACATATACCGTCATTCCTAGCACTCCAACAAGGTCCCTTAAGAAATTCGCACAGACGATGGCGCCACATTTCCCTCTAGGTATTTTTGTGAGAAACCCGCGAAAAAAAAAAAACTCGTAGTGCTGTCCGCGAGGTAGATATCTTGTACAGTGTGAGCATGAACCAATGTTATCGCCAACATGCAGGCGTCTTAAGCGGGCAATTCAAAGCCACCCAGTTCCAGTTTCGCGAGGGCTGTGGTGTTCTTTAACGCAGTCGAGACAGTCTTCGCTATGATGTTGCCTTGCTTATCCTTAGCACCTCGGCGTAGGGACTTCAACGTACTGTTGGCATTCAACGTGTTCAAGGAGGTATTTGCAGGTTCGGCGTTGAAAGAGCCCTCACGTAATGAGAGTTGGTCAAGCTATTTATTTATTCATTCATGTCATACCCACAGCGCCACATGGCATTAGAATGGGGGAGGGGGGAATACGCGAAAAAATTGAAAGCATACAGATAGCAGCAATCTATAGGTTCATCAAGAAAACATACATAAATACGAATACAAGAAGATGAATAGCGTGTACGATTGTGAACAAATGTGCGAACAAAGAATAAAAAACAAGATTAAAGGTACACAAGCATACATATAAATATTTAACAATGAATTATGCTATAGATAGAAAAACACAACTCTATGATCACTAATGCACAATACAAGAAATTACAATTAAGTACGAGCACTTCTATACAATTGCAACAATCACAAAAGAGTCGACACAACTTAGGCGTTGAGACGAAGCCATAAACCTCGAGCACCCTTAGTTCTCGATGAGATAAGACACATCCATCAGAATAATATTGTTCTTTGTATTGTCGGTATCACAAACCTCCGGAAGATACACCACCTCCAGGTGCCGTAAGATGTTGCACGTTGTCAACAGCTCTCGCTAGGAGCGGGCTCCACCGATACCCGCAACTATATTCAATGTTCTTAGTCGCTGGTGCTGGCGGATGCCGTTGCAGAGAAGTTGGAACCACTCCTTGTCGTTGCATCGATCGTTGGAAACATCGTTGGAAGCATCGTTGGAATGAAGCCACCAGGGAATTCACTTAGACCATGAGAATTACCCTATCGAGAAACGTCCCACTCGGCATGTTAATTTTGTACTGTTACGATTCGTGTAACGATGTAAACATCGTTACACGAATCGTTCGACGCATCGCTGGACACATCGTTGAACGCATCGTAAAACGCATCGTTGGACGCATCGTAGAACGCATCGTTGGACGCATCGTAGAACGCATCGTTGGAAGCGTCGTAGAACGCATCGTTGGAAGCGTCGTTGGATGCATCGTATGATGCATCTTTGGTTGCATTGTTGGATGCACCGTTGGTCGCATCGTCAGCAGCATCGTCGGCAGCAAATACGGCAGCATTGTCGGCAGCATAGCTGGATGCATCGCTGCATTATTGTTGGAAGCATCAATCGCTGGATGCTGTCAGCCGTTTGCCGGTGGTCAAAGCGCTTATGGGGAAAGTGTACTTCCAGCTCCATGATGCCGAAGTTTTATTTTACATGTACGTCAATGGCAGTCACAATGTCATTCCACAGAGTCAGGTTTTTCACCAAGTTCCAGCTTCCGCCATTTTCTCTGCCGCATGGATCCATGAAGACTCCTCCGTTTACGGCCAGGTGGAGCACAATCTGCTGCAATCTTGCGAAGGCATCTTTTGCAGAGGGAAATGCATGCTTGGACCTATATTCGTCAAACGCATCGAGTGCTCCCCTAGTCCATCATCTTCACGGCACCATCTCCTGCAGCAGCAGATGCATTAACGTGTCAGACAAGCACAACAATTTCTATTTCTAAAGGTTGCGTACCGTGCGAGAGTGTAATTAACAAAGGTACAATAGTGAGGCTCCTCTGATTTCTCCAAAAACGTGAGCCAAGCTAAATCACTGTCGGTAAATGACACACTATGGAGGTACTAATGTGCCACTGTAGCTTAAAAAGCGAGTATGAACTTTACAGTGCGAAAAAACCTATACATAGCGACTTTTCTTGTCTTCCACTTTGAATAAATTACTCAATGTTTTCGCAACTGAGCTTTGTTTTGCGTTTACCAGTAATGCTGCACTACTCTCTAAAACAGCGGGCCTGAGAAGATTGTCATTTGTCATTAAACTTTCGATTCGATCTCTACAGCCAACTACATTAGGTTTTTTGTACGTGTTCCTTCATTTATTAGCCGGGTAATATTTGTAAGCATACAAGGGAGACTGGCTGAGGCGTGCATCGAGGACTGAATCTGGGCTAGCAATGAGAAGGCGATGCGCACGGCGCCCGAATACGCTATCGCGTTGTACTTTTGAAGACGAACCTCAAGCATTCTTCGGGTTTTTCGCAGAAGGGCCTGCATACCAGAATGTGCAGGTGCTTCAGCGCATACAAGAAAACATTGCTGGAAATAAGCTATTCGAAAAGAAATTGCTACCTGCTCCGCATATCAAGGTGGTTAATCATGATTTGTAAACTTTTTTAGTTAGCGATGTATAGTGGTACTATCCACGACGAGTTTGCAGCCACAGAGGCACCAACGATGTAGCAAATTTTAAAAAGAAGTTTGTTTTTTCTCAAGCCCTGCGGTCAGTGGAAATCTGCTGGGATTTTTCGTCTTTCTTTTTTTTTCATTAATTCAAAATTGAGCGCATGAAGAGCGAAAAAAGCCTTTCAAGTCCCTCTTGTGACGCGTCTCACTGACAGAAAATGTACAGTGGCCGCACAACGTTTACAGTGCACCAGATTCAAGAAGACTTTAAAATTATTTGTCATCGTATTCGGCCGAACTTGCTAGGAAGTTATGTTTACGCGTTTTAGAGCCGCTCGAAAATCCTTATCTAAAGTGACCTGCCAGAGCAGCTAGATTCTTAAGCTTTTTCTCGTGTTTCGTGGCTCATAAACAATTTACAATGACTGTACGTGGGGTGGTAAAATGATCGTAGGGTGGGATAGCAGCATGCGAACATTAGACCACCCCTGTACGTGCTAGCTTCTGTGTCTGGGAAGCCTCGGCCATGAGCATGGTTATGATCCAGTTTAGTAAGCTGCTTACTCGCAAGACTCAAGAGAGAAGTTAACTAGAGCAGTAAGTTTTGAGTTAGCTATGGAAAATGCTAGATCGGCTGATTACAAATCCGTAATCCTCGGTATCGCCTGCTGTTCTGCATTGCTCGTAACATACATGTTTAGGGAGGGTAGGTATAGTAAAATGCGGCAGACGCAGCCTGACAAATATGCTTGTTTGCTGAGGAGCAGGGACGTCTATAATTGTTACTTTAAATACTAGGGCAGAGTACATACACACACAGTTCACTTTCGACTTACAAGGACACGTGAAACATTTACCGATGCAGTCTTCGGCTTATGTCAGGTCTTAGGCGTAGAGCTCCAAGGGTCACTTCCGAAGCTGAGGACGTCTGCAGTAGAAAACTTTCTCAATGCTTTTTTATAACGCCTCTGACCTGAAGGAAGGCAGTGTGGGCTATCGTTCACTACTCACTAAAGCATCACTAACTTATCAATCATGAAGCATTGACGAATCCGTGTCACGAGTGAGTGGTGAATAGCAGTCAGCTAAACGCGAGGAGGGGAGGAAGGGGCGAGAGAGAGAAAAAAAAAGAGAAACATAATCGAACGAGAGAGACAGAAAGAGGAGGGTGATCCACAGGAAAGGGTGGCTGACACTGATCCGGGAGACTCAGTGCAGGCTGGCTGACACACGCCTCACCTTTCTTTTTCATCGGAATGGCTTCGACAATATCCTGTGTTAATTTTTTGTCATGTCTGAAAACGACAGATGAGTCAGAGAGCCCTAGTTCACATCTGCAATCACGGCAATGCAGCGTATGGTGGGAATAGGCCGTGCCTTCAAGGGAGCATTCAAGCACCGGCACGGCTGTTCCGTACAACACCACCCACAGGCAAAAGGGATGTGGTACAGTCACAAGTGATATGAAGCTTATCATGCCAGCGTCGATCTGCCTAACGTTCCAGGGGCCTAGCCGCACGTTTCGGAACAGTGAAAACCAAGATTACGCATTCTTTCATCCCTCAATGGCTCTTACATGCTACAACTATCGCCCCTATACGACGAATTGTACATCCTTTCTCTCCATTTCGAACCTTCTATTCATTGCGATCGAAGACTCATTTTTCGTGGCTCTTATCTCCAAGGGCGATTACTAAATTGCTGGGAAAGATGTGTTAAAGTTAGAGCTTGCATGGCACTGCTTCGTGTAAACAGTTTCCCCAGATGGGAGTGATCGCAGCTCAACTCTTTCAGTCACGGTGTCCACATTTGTGAACTTCAACTTCAAAGGCGCATAACATGCCGCCTGTTTATTAAACTGGCTTGAAACTCAGTGTGCACATTTCTGCAGGCTTCCTGAGTGAAAAAAATGGCGAATATTTAATTTCAATGTGCTCTGTATTGCCCCAGAGGATCACTTGGCCGGAGACACTACCATGGTCGACGATTGCTCGACGAGCTGCGGTGGCACAAAACAAAACAAAAAACCACGGACGTATCGTAACAGCTGGATGAGCTGATAGGTGACGCTGGCAATTGCGTTTAATGGTATCGCGACCACAGGGCAAGACGAAGAAGACGTTTGATCTGAACAAGGGGGAGATGTCTGTCTAGAAAGTGGGTTTCTAGCCTGCTACTCCTCACGGGTGTAAGGAAAGAAGAGAAAAAAAGAAGGAGGCATGATGAATGGTGACTATGGTATGACACAATGAGTCACAACACAAGCTATCCCGGGCAGGATAGTACACGCACAAAAAGGTGCCGAGAGAAATTAACGGCCTACCGACGACGGTCCAGAAACAGCGACGGCGGCATGGTGTGCCGGGCTATACGAACGAGTGGCTGCCACGAAAAGATTTAAAACGATCGCAATTACGCATTCCGCAGTGAAATACGCTGGTGCGAACTGACCCCACTTTTTTTGTTCTTAATGTGGCTCGTGCAGCTTCTTAACATATGAAGAGTTCCTTTTAGAACTGCTGAAGAAAAGAAATAAAAGGCTTATTCGTATGCACCCGCACAGGCTCATCAAAGCAGAGATCGGACGACAGAGTGCGGGGACAATGGTGCGAAAACCATAAAGTAGGCAAAATAGACGGAGGAAGAGAGGGTAAGGTGGGAGTTTATGGCAGCCAGAGCGTCTATACCGGACCAATTCCATGCAGCACAGAGAATGCAAAGACTCACTTCCACCAATTACAATCAAGAAAGTGTCGTGGTTCTTCAGTGTAATGAGGTATTGTCGTTACCCAATCCTTCAATTCAGCCGTTCTTGATGCACGGCGGTAATCAATGGCTAATGAATCAGCTGCCGTAGCTCTTGCCATAGTTACGTACACGACACACACGTCGCTCTAGGTGCAGTGCACCAAAACTTGGTGCTACAGATTGAATATATGAAACACGTATCCTGTTCAATAGGGTAAACTTTCGCCAGCTCACGAATCATTACGTGGCGACACTGTAGAAAATATAATGGTCCACGGTTGTAAAATTTCACTTAGCTGCCAGCGACGCAAAATCAAGCGAGACCTTCAACGGCCCCATCCTAGGCAGAGTCGATATATTAAGCATGCAGTGATGCTCGAGAGAGGGTTCGTGCTTGACCTGTAAGTGCGTCACTCTTCCTGCAGGTCTTCAGAAAATTTTTTTTTCTTGCGAACATTTAAAAAAAAGCGAGACAGACAATGAGAATCGAGGTAACAAAAGAATCATTAGACATGGAGCACTAATTAGCATAATCGAGGCCAGGGTCCCGGTACTCAAACTGGGAAGACGAGCCGGCTACGTCACGAAGTCGTAGCGTTCGTGCACTGAAGCTTGAATTCTCAGTTTAGATGATTTCGTGCTGTCAGTGAGTGATCACGAATGAAGAAAATGCACACTGGTAGAATGTCGGAAAGGCAATAGCAATATCCGCTCACATACAAAGCGAGTGGATGTGGGAGGGGGGCGACGGTACAGAAGTACTTTAGATATGCTTGTGCACGGGTTTGTGTGCCGGCCTGTCTATGCATATACAACGTTAAGACACTACGGAAAAACGATGTTAACCCGCCCGCCCCTCCACCCTAGCTACGCTAGTGATACAGGTTGACAATCAACAAACAAGTCGTTAATTACGGGCACTCTGCTCCTGAGATACAGAAAAACCTCACGTGATACATTTTCGTTTCTTTTTGCAAGTTCTGCAAAAAAAAAAAAAGAAAGAACCCTTTGAACAGAACCAGGAGGAAGAAAAGGTGAAGAAATGAAAGACAGGGAGGTGAACCAGACGCGCGTCCAGCTTGGTACCCTGTACTGGAGGAAAGGGGACGAATGAGTTACAAAAGAAAAAGAAGGTAGAAGAAAGCACGAAATTCCGGCATTCTACTGAGTGAATTGTGAGTCATGTCGCCATGCAGCTGCTAACGCGTTTTTTTTTTTTTCAACCAGTTCACTCTACGTATCTCAATCTTACCACCACGCACCGTGAATGCGCGAGTCACGTTTATGAATCACGGTGATCGCTGAATCATCCTTCACTTTGTGAATGGCGAACAGTAAAAGGCGTGCTACAGCTGATAGCCTCGTGCATCTAATTACCGCGTCCAAACGAGTGTTTAACAAGAAAAGTATATTGGGGGTCTCCTAGAGTCACGAGCAGATCACTCACTATAGCCACCGTACTGACCAGACGACCTTTACGAAGGACCTTTACGGATAAGCAATCGATCTTCAAGAACAAAGTGCCTCAAGTGCTTCTTTTTCAACTCCAACTTTTGACAATAAACTTCAAATTTTTTTCGCGTTTCCTTTCTAAAGGGGCATAGGTTCTCGATCGCTCTCTTGGAGAGGTCTTCACGCTTTCAGGTAAGATATTTCAAAACACTTAGACGAATGACTACCAACTTGGGGGGCATGATTTTGACCGCCATGACTGCAGATATAGAACGGACATTAAATGGAAACATATTTTTGTCCTTCTCTATTGCTGACAGCCATCTGTAGGACTAGCACTTGACGAAAATAAAGCTATTTATGGAGGAGAGCCGTGCTACCAGCGCGAACTGCAATGAAGCTGGAGCTGCTCCAGCCAGAGCCAATAGCACACGACAAAAGCCAAATGCCCCTGACTGCGCCAACGCATGCAGCGCCATTCGTGAGCCGCCATCAGTGGCGCACGAGGCGAACAGTGAAGTTTTCCGTGTGTCGACTTCGACTTGTCACTTTCACCGACAATACCATACGCCGACTTCGCGTAGTCAGGGGTGAAACACCGGGCAAGTGCACCTCGCGTAATTTATTTCTACCGTGGGATACAGTGCACAAACTGACACTCGACGGCACATGCCCGCCCGACCCCCAATACGGATAAAAAGACGTGCCCCCGCCAAAACATATGTCTGCCTACGCAACTGTGCACATCTGTACAGAGAGACTCGGGATTTTGTAACAGAATGGTCAGAATCGGCGAATACTCTCCGTCTACTCTTGAGCTAATTCCAGTGACTTCTTTTTCGTCGACGTGCATTTCATGCTTTCTTGCCTTCCAGGGGTCTTGCATGAACCGAAGTCATTGTGACACTGTCCTGGAATGTATGCCATACACGAGATCGAACTATTCGAGAGTTAAAGCACACCATCACTTGGGACCATATCCGGTGATGAGATGTTTGAGTGAGCGCGTACGACCTGCTTACAAGGCTGCTATGGCACCGCGGTGCCGAGCTAGTGTCGCATGCTCATAGGGTAAAAAGTAATCGAGCTCCCTCCTATACAGCTATACTTCCACATCGTGACCACGAATATTATGATCTTCCACTTAGAATCGGCTTTTAACGGCCGAGCTGTTGTACCTCACCGTAGCTTGTGCTGCGTCACCAGAAAACTCTTCAGGTAGGCATGCGCCACAGGAATAGGGCCAGCGCCACTGTCATGAACAGCGTGTGTGAATGTCAAGCGAAAAACGAACGCGTGACAAAGACAAACAAAAGAAATACATACAAACTGAGCGAGAAAGAGAAACGGGAACAGAATATAGAGAAATGAAGGAAATAAAGACATGAAAGGCAACAAGCCTCCACAAGTAGCGAAAACAAATTGCGAAACCTACCTAGCGAAACGTATTTTCTACAATTCCGCAGTAAATAATACTTTGACAAGTCCCTCCAGGCAGCAGCCCTTCAGACGCATCTGAGACTCCTTCCGGAGTAATTGTCAATATATTGGTAGTCTTGTGAAATGCACGTCTCCAACAAATGTTTTGCCCTGAAAGCTCCCTGGGCAGCCTCATAGTTCTCTCTGTGCTGTTGTAACCATGCTTAACCACCGAAAAACACAAAGAACGCACGCCGAGGCAGTGACAACAGCTTTTGTGCTACTGGGCAACAGTCCAGAGAGTATAGG